TCAACATGAAGTTTCACATCACTCAACAAAAAGACATTTTTTGACAATTCACTAATTTACATGACTCTAACTTTTTTTAGAAAAAAAATTATGCGCATTCCTATAGCACTTGAAACAGCTTTCATCTGTGATTGGTTTTCAGCAACAGAAAGAACCGTAGAAAATTGAACAAATTCAAGTTTTCAAAGCTAGTGCGCCAAAATTGTAGAACGTTATAGTAAATTTCAGAATTGCCAGGAATAGAATATATATGATATATTTTGTTAAATAAGCAAGCTCTGTGCCAATCAAAAATCTCAGCACAGCAGCACGACTTCAACGAAGATGCAAAAGAAAACGAAAGGGATACATAGGAAGAAAACCACACAATGATATTTGAAGACGTTATATACTTTTAATAACATACCTATAAGAAAACAGAAGACTACTGAGAATATAGAAAAAAACAGGAAGTTTGGGTGCATTTTGTGACTTTTCGAGGACGGTGATTATATACATCTTATAGATGATATAAAATATTCAGGTGTTCTCAGGAAAATGGTTGAACATCCGTTCCAACACGTAACAGCGCAATAATCGTGAAGAAAATATAAAATACTGATGAAAACTGTAATCTTCAGTCAGTGAAATGCATGCACGCCTCATTCAATTATCACTTTCCCATATGTTGTTGCGAGTTAATGACTTCGTCTAGAGGTAATCGAGCTGTTAGAAGACGAGAGATCACTATGAAGGCTCATACGCTTTGGAATTGACAGCATACTGGCATAAGAAGCTTTTCGATAATGCATGACACTCTCTTAATATTTCTTAGGATCAAGGAAATCAATTATGAAATGATAGCTGAGATTTTTATGCAAGATCTGAGATGAAGATTATGTTTCAAGTGCTTTTCAACCCAATTCCATATGCTTGAGTATTGAAAGTTGTGATAAAGATATGAATTAATGTTTTGTCTGAGTTCTCACACTCTTAAAGCAACTCTACTTCCTAGCAGACACCATATCTACCCTCTCCCAGGTGCAGTCTAGATCAAATTTTTCTAAGACCAATGATTGATTGTTATGAAATCAATAGGAAATTCAAATAAATAAGCATATCACGCATGGGATGTGTTTCATGCTGTTTGACATTCGATACTAGTTATTTGATAGAGTACACCCCATACCCTATGCTTGCCATAAAGGACTGCAGGAGGAGCGAAATCGAGCAAGCTCAATGTGATGGATAACGTGAACTAGACAAAACAAACAAGAAAGTTTTTTGTGCGAGTTTTCCACTTCCAGACTGGATTTCCTGTACTTTTGCCAGAAAAGAGATGTTTCAGCAGTCGAACATAGCATTTGGGGTGAAAAAATTGATCCTGCAATTTTTTTTGAAATCTCTACATTGCTTATGTAAATAGATAGCTCAAAAAGCTCAAAGTTCTTATGAATGCATCAATAATTGAACGTGAAAATCACCGTCATGGCTGAAGACTCATTTAAAAGCTTGGTCGTAGCGAAGAAAATGGCAAAAGAATAGTCTAGGAAATGATACAAGTCCAGACAGCTGTCCATCACTAAATTCTCGTAGACCTTCGAAACTGTGTGATTACACATAGAAGACCCATAAAGGCCTTACTAAGAACCTTTGCAGTTTTGCAAATAGATTCTGTAGATGCTTCATACATCGGACTTATCGTAACACACTTAAACTTTTGCACTTGAGTTTACAGGTGAATAAAGGTATGAAAACCACAGTACAAAATTTCCGCGAGATCATGGTTGATGCATAAAACATGAACCTACTAGATATACGTGCCCCAAAAAATGTACCTACTGTTTGATTGTTGATTACTTCTTTGTCATGAAGTCTTTTTAGAAGCTTTATGTACGATTTTGTAGCGCTTGCTATTACTTAGAATTATAGTGTAGAGTGAATCATCGATAGATTTCTAGTGTAAGGTTACGATGGAAACTGTGAAGTTTTGGGCCGTCAAATGCCGTACTTTGTCTCAGAAAGGAAACCAAACATGAAGTCCCTTATCAGACTAATTAGAGCGCTGAATTCACAAACTGTTTGCACACACATCATGCTTCTTCTATAAATTTTTCCTGGACAGTGCCAACTGCTTTTTTAATGTTTTTCACAAAGGTGATTTAGCCCCTAGCCACTAAAAAGTTTAGACAACTTGTAGAGAATTGTGCAATGAAATCAGCACGCTAAAAACTCTGCACCCAATTTTCCAAGTTATTTTTTAAAAAAACTTTCATCACATGGCCAATTTCACATTGGCGCTTTATGCCAAAAGTTTCTACAGTGATCCTACAGTAGAACTTGAGATTAGATTCAGAGTATAAAGTAAATCATCGGCCGCAAAGTGGCCGATGATTTATTTTATACTCTGAATCTAATTTTAAGTTGAAGCCCTACAATGGTACGTGGAGTCTCTCGAAATTTCTTATAACAAGAGAGTTATCAGCAATCTGACAGTAGGCGTTCTCGGAACATCATGTATAAACGTCAAGAACTAGGATATATCGAAAGCTTACTTCTTCTGTTGGAAAAATGCGAAAAATTCCCTACTAATTGCACTCCATTTGCACAGCTTGTTCTCTAACTAAAAAAAGATAGTAGTGTTAAATCTTCCGATTTCTTCGCATCAACCTAAGTTGACTGTACACACATGGAATTTCAACAAGACACATGCTACTTTTTGCATCTCCGGTTCACCTGTACTTGTGGAAAGTATTGTTCTAGCAACTGATCATGGAAGGATAATGTATGACAGTGGGAATGATTAGAAGAGATGCTGTAGTATTGACGATACTGAAGAGGTGCAGGTACAGGTCACGGCAGCGAGGAGCCGGAACCATCCTAGCTGATTATACCACTACGAGGGACCAATAAAATCAAAATCAAAAAAAATCGAGATTTTTAGGTTTCTAAACACATCATTGGATAGCTTGGAAAGAGCTGATTTCAAATGTGCTGTTCAGAATTTTGTATGATTACTTTGAAGATCGTTATCAGCTTATCAGTGCAAAAAGAGGTTCCAATAAGATTTAAAACTTTAATTCAGAAAAAAAAATTGAGATTTCTAAACTTTGAAATATATTGGCTGATGGCTCAAGGGACACTGATGGCGACTGTGTAAACAAGATTATTGTGGGATAAATATGAAGGCAGATACAACAACGCGGCACTTCCGACGCAAAAACGCGTTTATTGTGTCCCGCGTCACATGAAAAAAAAATGACAAAAAAATTGTGAATTTTTCAATTTTCAAACATACTATCGGTTACATCACACAGCGCTGGTTATTCAAGCCAGAGCTCGATAGAAGTAGCCTGAAAAAAGTTACGGCAATGCGGCACTTCCGGCGCATTGTTGCGTTTGAAACGCAGTGAAAAGCGCACGGACGGTGCTGTATGTACTAGCCGTCTATGCAATAAACATCCTATTTTTATATGAAACCATTTCTTTGTAAGGGAATGTTAATTATTAGCTGTTGCTAGGAGAAAGGACTTACAGAGAACTAACGAGTCGAATAGAATTGGCCACATATGCACCACCTTTATAGTGAGGTAACATGATGTGAGGCTCAGCATGGAGGTTTTGTTTTGCAAAAGCAAGACTATCCTCGCCGACTCTTTCTCTGATCCTTTTCCGGCTGTCAACAAGTCGAATGCAGCACATGCATAGTGGTAATAGAAAATACGAAATAACTGATGAAGAGGCAGCCTCATTCAGAAGATGCGTGTCGCGAGGAGCTGAAGTTAATGTGGCGTGCTTTCACTCCAGTAAAAAATGCCTTGAGCTCTCAGCCTACCTATTTCAGGTTACGTTTCGATGTCTCTCCAAAGCTAGAGTTTTTCACTGTACTAGCATGTCTTCAAAAAATCAATACACGACCGCTTTGACCTTGATCTGGACCGTTTTCGTTAAACGCTGAAATTTTCAGTGCTGTATCAGTCTGATTTCTAAACTTACAAACAAAGGAAGGTTGGGCGAAGTGGCCTTTTCCTATGAGATGTATACTGTCTTGAAGAGAATGAAATGCTGATTTCAAACCTACCTTTCTTATGTGCTGCGGGCTTTTGATCAAGAAGTTTTGAAGTGTTTTTTATGAGCAAAAAAAAATTTGCGTAGTCAGTGTAATACCAATCGGTGATTTTTCTAGTGTTCTAAAGTGGCAAAGTTAATTGGAATGTTTGAACTAAGAATTTTTATTGCAAAAAGTAACTCGAAAATTATTCTAGCCACGGGAAAATTGTTACGGCTGGTTTTGTCCTAGCTGCACATGCAGGTTTTTGCTCATAAAAAGCTTAGTAACTCCTCACCCAGGAACCCGCAGCAGATAAAAAAGGTGGATTTGGAACCAGCGTTTCGTAATCTTCAAAGCAGTATCCATCTCATATTGAAAGGCCACTTTGACTAACCTTCCTTTCCCTGTGGGATCAAACTTTGAGTTCCTAAACTTCTTTCGTTCATACATCCTTCTTTCATTTCCTTTCTCTCCGCATTATTAAACGCTACTTCTGGTTGTTGTCGTCCAAGTGCAGAATCAAAACTGCTGGCCAGATAATGAGAAAACGTTCTGCCCTTCAGGGGTAATTTGACAGCTCAAAAAGAAATCCTACCGTACGTCTGCTTGCGTACTCAAAACAGTAACAAACGGTGTCGCTTCGCCAATAGTACCTGAGAATCGAAATTACTACTTATATACATGTGATTCTATCCTCATAATAACCAGCGTAACCCTAAGGTTTCCAACAATAGAATTCAGCTGGTTATTGTAAACAACATGGCAGTCTCGGGCCAAATTTTGAATACCAGACGCTTTAGTACACTATCATCTCAAACGGACGATGTACTGGTGATTTGTAAGTTTGACTAAGCAAAAAAGCAATGAAACTAAGAAACAACATGACCTTGCATTACGTAAATTTCCTAAAGTGTGTCAGAACATGTTCAGCGGGTATCAAGCTCTTCGTTCCAAAAATAGTATAGAAATTGCATGGATAACTGCATGGACAATCTTTAGTTCACACTGAGAAACTAAATTGATCTACATGAACAAGAGGTCAGCCGTTATACCCGTACACAAGAGTTCTGAGCAACAAGAACATGATGAGCTGGAAGAGGTACTAAAAACTAAAGCGACTATTGAAGACTAGGCACTAAATTACAAGGCATCAACAGCTAAGAAAAGAGATCATCATTTTCTAGGGATTTTAAGCGGATATGTGAAATCCACGTTTCTAAGCAGAGGCTCGCGCCGCAGAAACTTCAGCTTTTAGAGCTTGCTGGATCTGCCAAATGTCGGTGTTTCGTACCAATTCATCGTCAGGTTTGATTCGGAGAAAACCTTCTGGCTCATAAATCCATCGCCTGAATGAAGCAGCTGGAGGTGCACAACATGAACTATGAAATGAAGACTAATGTAGGGTGGAAAAAATCAATAATACAGCTTTTGTATAGCTGAATAACAAGAACAAAAACTCACTTCGCCAAGACGTCGTGCTCTCCAATCATTTCCCAAAGTCGCTCTTTCTCTTCATCTTGTACGTCCACACCATATTTCTTAAACAGATCGTAGAGACGTAATGCCAGTGGAGCCATTTTGCGCTGTTCTGAAAAATGTCAACTCAAAAGGAATTTCAGAACTGTGTAGAACCAATTCATATATCAAATATCTTCAAATACAGATGACGGGCGTGACTCATAGCTACAGTGCAGTGGTAGCCCACGGGGGGGGGGATGCGAGGGTCGCGAAATTTTTGAAAGCTACTTATGAGTTACAAAATCCTGCAAATAGCTTGTTTATACTTGTAAATAACAAAATTAATCTTCATCTTCAAAAACTCAATTAGCCTTGTAAAAAGGAATTTTTCGGAGGTGTGGCTGCGGCCACGCCTCTTTTCCGAAATCTTAGGGGGATAGAACCGCAGGAAATTTTGTGAAACACCACAAAAAAGTTTCGGAGTGCGTGGCAAATGGCACGAACCTTCACTCGAAAGAATTGCCAAAAGAATTTCATGCTGATCTGATTCATGTCGCTTTCCAGAAGACCCGACTAAGACATTATCCTTCACTAATATTTAATTTTGCGCACCATACCGTGTGAATATGAAAGCAGTTGACAGTTAAAGTCCAGGGTTGCTGTGTGCAAGTAGCGTTCCAGCGCCGTGCCAGCTACGTGGCAAGACTGTGCCGGCTGGGTGGATTGATGAACACGCAATGCGTCCACATTGCTTTGATTTCCAGCAAGCGCTGGAACAGCGCAACGGCACTGACATGGCGCCGGCGCACGGATAACCCTGGATACAGCATGTTAGAGTGCTTTACAGGCACGCAGTGTCGCATGCGTAATACAGCCCTAAACAGACCAAACCCTAGGAGCTTTTTGTTCGTTCTAATCAATTCAAGTTCTTGAATTTCCTAATATCAAAGGCAGCGTCCAGGCAGATCTGGACCTATGGGGCTTTTACGTGGAAAGTACTTTTGGGGCCCTAACTAAGGTACTGCCCAAGCGGCAGCTCAGGTAGTGCTCTAATGGCTGAGATATTCCCCTCGAAACTGGCCCCCGCGAACGTTTTCGCATGGATTCATGGCACTTTCGCGCCAGGATCCACGCTTTGCGCCATGAATCCATGCGAAACACGGTCGCGGGGGCCGGTTTCGAGGGGAATATCTCAGCCATTAGAGCACTACATGAGCTGCCGCTTGGGCAGTGCCTAAGTTAGGGCCCCAAAAGTACTTTCCACGTAAAAGCCCCATAGGTCCAGATCTGCCTGGACGCTGCCTTTAAGTGAAGTTAAGATGCATAGTGGACGTTTCACCTCAATGCAACCTGCCCACTGTGGGTAAAGTTTCAACAACAGATAAATTCATTGCAAGTATTCAGGGTCTTATTCCGCTGCACGCCAAAAATTCGTGGATTTAATTTGTTGAGACCTTTGCAAGACAACCCAACTTACCACATAGTCGCAACCAGTCAGTCTGCATCTGTCGAGTCGCCTCCACATTTTCAATGAGTTTGGTATGCTTGAGACACAATTCCGCGAACTGTCTTATAAACTCCTCGTCAACCTGCAATGATAAGTTGCATCATATTATTATCATCCCTTACACACGTGTAGAAATTACCATTTTCGCTCGTAGTGCATTCATATATCGCATTGCCATCACACAGTCTAACGGATCGATCTCAGCCTGAGATTTTTACAGAATAGTTACCGAAGATATTCGAAGTCGATTTCTAACCTTATGCTCCTCCAGATACTCAGCAGCCTCGTCTTCATGCCGCTTGGCTACCAAAACAGCTGCGTAAAGACAGTGGACTCGAGACTGTGGAAGGAAGTTTTGGGCTTTGTGCAGCACTGAAGATGACATAACAGATTTCAGATTTTGACAGCAGAATATGCCGAAATAATGAGATACAGAAACTAGACTTGGCCCTTGTATTAGGCTGCTGCATAAGTTCTGTCCGATTTTTTTGCCTTATGCTCGAAGCAGCTGTTCTAAGAGAATTTCATCTCTTATGCGGTAATGTTAGTATTATTAGAAAGTGCTTTTCTTGCTCTTTCTAAAGCATTCAAATTTTGATAAATTTCTTAGTGTAGGGAGATTTCAGGCCTAAAATCTCCAAGTGGCCGAGGTACGTCCTCACCCTGGAAATATGTTCTTGCGAGGAGATCTCCACAATGCGCCCTTCAAGTCAAGTTTTTCATTGGTTTCGGAATAAGGGTGTAAAAGGCAAGTATATGCAGAAGCTCGGTTGTCTTGCTTTAAAACTTATCGTCGAACATTGATTTTTTGTATAGATGTTTTACAAGCAATAACTTTCTGCGAACAAAAGCAATCGATGAGTTCAAAGTTGGAGGTGCTAGGGTGAAGCAAGAGCTAGCAGGGCCCCTCCAACAACTTCTTTTCGGCGTTCACATCAATTGTAAAATTTTCATAATTCGTAAATAGGCATGCACACATGCGCTGAAGCGAAGTCAAAAATTGGCTTCTTTTTTGCTCGGTCAAAAATCTCTCCGCAACGCAGACTCTATGGGCTCTTTTATGTTGCAAAATAATCTACAAAAATTTCTGTACAGTTTTGAAGAAAAACGCTGCGAAGTTTTTGAGTTCTTGCTTCTTCCTTAACAAGGACTTCCGCAGGTCTCAATATGTATCTGATAGCCAATGAACTGCTCAAGACATAGAAATTAAGATCTTAAAATAAAGTTGACTTTATGAAAGAAGTGTGAATTTCGAACCAAAATCCAAATCGGACAGAACTTATGCAGCAGTCTGATTAATGGAAATTCAAAACGATTGCTGGGATGGTGGTATGACGATGTAGCAATGAATCTAATGGAGAGAGATTGAAATTTGGATGCTTTACAAGCTTTCCAAGCCGGGCTTTTGCCCCTAGATTTTTTCACAGACTTAAATTTCGACAAAATTTCGAAGTCTAGATTTCATAAAAACAACAGTTGCAAAATTTTATACTCATGAAGGTGATTTGCAGAATTCGCAATCTATTCTCAGTGCAGGGGGCGAGGGGATAAAAAAGGCACGTATCAATCTTACCATACTGAATGTTGCGCTTGGAGGCCTCTGATTTCTGTGAGAGGCAAAAACGTAATAATGTGACAATTCCATTAGAGCAATACAGTCCAGACTGGAACTTCATCCAGGTATTTACTGCTTCTTCCCAGCCAAGCCTGAGAAACTAGTTTTGTAACGTTGACAAACTGAAATCAAAGAAATAGCTGACCTCCTCAAAACATTTCCTATAAACACAGAAGTCAATGTTTCGTTAGGATGAAGTTGGAGTATTTCCAACTTGATCAGCGTTCGTAAGAGATCTATGCATTCGTCAATTTTTTCTACAGATGGATTTGGAAGCCTCTGGAAAATGATGATGACACTCACACTTCATGAATGTATGCAGTGGTAAACTTACCTCAAAACATTTTCCGAACAAACGATTGTATTCGTGCAGAGTGTTGAAGAAAGTGTCATAATTGGCAGTAGCTGTAAAATGTTGTGATTAGTGCGAAAATATATAAATCTAGAGAGACATTACAGACAGAGATCGTTCAAGAAGTGAGAGTGAGTTTTCTTGCGGATTGAAAATTCCTTCTCAAAAGAATGTCCAGGACAATTTGTGATGACAAAAAGCTTCACATTAGATACATTCCGAGGTTTTACGAAAAGCACAATGCAGAGCAAATAGACGTCAACGGGTGCAAAAAAAATAGCATTGTCAGAGCTTTCGACACGATACCCATTGTACCATGTTTGCACTTTAAGTTAATAAGCAGAAATCTCGTTAAATCCAAGCTAAAACCTACTACTCATTATTGACCATCACTGTGAAGAAGCATATAAAAGTATTTATATAGTATTAAATTCGAGAGGTGATGGCAACGGTGGGCAAGTTGGAACTTCTCTATGTCGATACCAGAAAGAGACCTTCAGGAAAGAGCCGCCGAAGTTCATAGGCATAATTGACCATTTTCACGAGCGAGATCTCTTCGGCTTCATTTGAAAGTCTTCTCAGAATCTGCAGCAAATGGTAATTCTTTATGGGACTGTAGGATGGATCATCCGGTTTTTGCCATTTGGCAGACTGAGCCGATCTGGAAGAAATATAACAATTTTGGAAGAATGCAAAAAAAGTACTTCTGCACAACATACAGTGAAATGAGCATTTTCTTGACATTTGACCATTCTTCATGGTCGAGATAGAGCCCAAGCACATCTGGAATGATCTCCTCGAAGTTTGTATCTTCTGGCCAGCCATATGACGAAAGGAACGCATGGACCTTCGAAGAGTCCTAGAACAGTATCACTGGTACTTTTCAAAAGGGTCTGCTAGAAAGTGCTCCTATCGTGCCACTGCCTAAGCTGCAAAGAAACGAGATTCTCTCGATCTTCAAAAAAGACTCTCTACTCAAAACAAACAAAAATGCAATTCTTCAATGAAACTTGTATAGGAAGGTTATACGACAAGTTACGAAAGTGTATTTGCTCCGCACGGTAAGGTCTCTTCAAAGGGGTTACGGTAAGCGTACGGTTTGGGGTCCACTATGGCTCTGCACTCACGCGATCATCCACAAATTTTTTCAGCCTCTCGTAGGTAATCCGAACCGGCAACCCTTTCATACTGCTTTTCTTCTCCATTTCAAAGGTAGCTGTATACTGTAACTTCAGCCATCTGTAAATTACGACTTCAAATAACACTAAGCCTAACAATGAATGAACAGACGGGTGACTATCTACTAACTCCTTGAGCTCTCCGGACAAAGGTCGTGAAGCATCTGCCAAATCAGCTACTCTTTTCTCGCTCGCAACTTTATCTTGCCACCACGAATACATGGTTTGCCACACAGAATCGGATGCTATGCCAAAACTCTTCAAAATCCTAGCTAGCTTATTCAGTTTTGACTGATCTCCACGGGAAGTCCGTTGCCGATCTGAAAAATTCAAATCACGAAGGATTATGACCGAAACTAGAAACATACCATAGAGTGGTTGTAACAATACCGGTGACAAAACAGAGATATCAAGCTCTGACAGATCCTTGTAACCCATGTTTGCACAGCGAAAAATCAACTTCAGTCGCTCTTCAACATCATCTGTGCTGGAAAAAATTTGTTATCCAAAGCTATTATTCTTCCAAAAAGCTTTCTTGTTTTTGCACCTAGTGAGAAGCGGTAGTACCAAATGATGCCTAGTTCGATCTCTGTCTACCATATCAATCAAAGCATTCACGTATTCAATGCGTTTATCCATAGAGAATTCTTTGTACATCATAACGGCGTAAAGCAGATCGTCATGAATCCGAAGACTGCAAGAGATTCGATTGAGATTTTGGGCTTCATAAATTCACTTATTCAAGAAGTAGACGTAATTCTAAAACAAATATGGCAGCCCAACACATATTTTTGTTGAGTGGTGAGAAGGAGCGGGGGGAGGGAGGGAAGGGGGGGGGGGAGAACGGGCGACGAGGTTTCTTCCAGCAAAATAATTCGCGATTTTTCCAAAATTTTTCCGGGTCCACGACCTCGAAGATATGAGAAAGGGAGCGTGGCGGGGTTAACTTCTAAAAAATTTTCCGAACGGTTGGTCCACAAAATTTGAAAATTGTTTCTATTACGTACGAGTAAGAAAAATTCATTGGCAGAAGTTTTCACTTCATTTATACTACTTTAAAAACTTCGCGACCCGTTTTTGGGAAGCAGGATACACCACTCGCCCCCCCCCCCCCCGCCACCCCTTTTGGGTCCGACACTGAACTGTATACTGCCAAGCACAGCATTTAGTATTGATACTGTAAGATCGTAACTCACGCTTTTTGCTGACTTTGGAAAATGGTAGCGACGCGATTGGCAATGTCATTCATCTTTACAACATTCACCTCGTTCCGTACAATCTGCCTACTAAGCTGAGCGATCATCTGTTTCAGAAACACTGAAAGTTGCACAGTCATGGCCATTCCACATCTATCTCATGGATCGAAAACAGCTGAAGGCAGTGTCCGGGCAAGAAATCGACTTCGAGATTTTGTGCTCACCTGTGCCTGTTCACTCTGCTAAATCCGAAAATGAGACAGCGAAAACGGCAAAAAAGGCTCTAATGCAGGCGACATATCTACAGGGGGTCCTCCATTCCTTTGAAGTCGGCCGAGCTTCAAGAGCAATATTCTCGCTTCCGTTAGCCACTCTAATCTTTCCGCTGGCCACTGCGAACGCGTGACTTGAAATCAGAACCGAGAAGATCGTCCCTGATGCTCGGAGAGTGACTCCACAGAGTGAAGGACCCCGCCCACCCGCCAATTTCCTGCCTGTGTTAGAGCCAATTTTCTCCGAAATCGCGCTCTCCAGTGTGGATTTTTGGATTAAGCATGAAATAGGTCCGGTATTTAAGCACAGAATCTCGGAATCAACTTTTTGCCCAGACACTGCTTTCAAGAAATTTGATGATCAAATTCAAAATTGTTTTTTTTTTCTCGAAAATTACTTCACTCGGATGTTGTTAATGCATATTGCTGTGGGAAGGTCATTTAACCGATGTTCTTGGAAAACAAAAAACACTCTCGAAAATGCCGAAGTGGAAGTTTATCTATCTCCTTTGAAATTAGAGACGAATCCATCTACCAGTCAAAAATAACCACTCAATTTCTCATTTCAAAAGAGATATTAGGACGAGAGAAAAGCAGCGCACTAAATTTTCACCAGTTTCCTGTTGGAAAAATAGAGAAATTCAAGCATCTAGTTTAGCACTTGTCTAATACAATATTGAGATAGCCATGCGCTCTCCCAAAAAAAAAATTATTACAACTCACAAGATTTTTGTTGATTTTTCAAGAAATCGGATATCTTGTTGGTGTCCTCCAGCAGAGCTACCGCTGTATAGTAATGTTGATGGCATATGTGGGTCTCCACTTCTCTGATTAGATAGCGAAAGAATCCAGGGCAACGCTTTGTATGGTCCAGCATCTCAAACGCATAACTTACGCAACGACGAGGACACAATTATAGGTGAAGGCCGACCTGTTCAGTGAGATTGACAAACTCAGCGCCGTCACCTTCTCGGCTCTTCTCTGACAATAGCCAAATAGTTTCGAAAATGTCATTTACGGAAAGTATGAGTCGACGTTCTTCACCCATCACAGTTCGACGAAGCACCTATAATAGACTTTCCTCTTATAAAAACGCTTCGAGTTCGAGAAATACATCTGATAATCTCTTCCTTCACAAAAAGAATGCAAAAATGCGCAAGCAATAGCTGGAAGTTTGGCCAATTACCATTTTAATGGAGATTGAGCCGCCATAATCAGTCTCATAGAAAGACAAAATGATAAGTTCTCATAAGTTACCGATCTCAGCCGATTCAAATCCGCACGAGCAGCAGCAGCTCTAGCGCAAGCACCTTGCGCGCTTGCCACAGCATCAACACCGTACTTTCCCAAGGCTTGCTGAAAAAAGTTGTTGAAGGAATTTTCGCGGCAAAAATGCTGAGAACATCGATTCAACGCAGAAAGAAGAAACAATAGGGGATATGTAACCTCTGCCAATGAATCTGCCTTTGCGTGATGTCCTCTTACTCCAAAGCAGTAGACGAGTGCGTCATTGCAAGCTCGATCGACAATGAAACCTCGTTTTGCCATTTCATACACCTAAAAAACGTCTACATCTCAACTCCGTCAAATCTTATTTCCTTCCGAGAAAAACAGAGGCTAGAGCTTCATACCATGTCTCGACAACCGTCGCTATCTCCATGGCGAGCGATATTGGTGAGAAGCAGCTGGAAGGTTTCCTGATCTGGTTGCAGTTGCCTGAACATATATTTTAAGGAACCATTCGGATAAAAACAATCGCATCCATCTTGCACGAAGAAAGCAGACGATAAAGATTTAAGGGGACTTGTGGTGCAGACAGTTTCCGATTTCATTGCTGCCGGTGTGATGTGTGGATCACATTGCAAAAATTATTCTGTGCCCCTCAGCAATGAAATATGCATTGGAGAAACCACACAAAAATTCAAGTAGTATCTAATAGTATCATTCGCAATTAGAAAAAAACTAGTGTCTTATTGCAAGTCAGGCAAGACAAAAAAGTAGAAGAACCTTGTGTTATACCTGTTCCCTTCGATATCGTTCAAAACTTCGCCGCAATCAAATTCTGAACCATTTTCCAGCAAAGAAGACAACAATGCATTGACTGATGGGATGTTGATCGGAATGCCTGTAAGGGAGAATATTAGTGAAGACTGAACACATGAAAGATTACCACATCCTCGATACCTCTAAGGTTCAACTGCTTCCAAAAACGGGCTAAGATTTGCTGACGAGAAGATTTCGGGACATTAGAGGTGGCTTTCCCGCAAGCTCGAAAAAGGAGGGGCAACCAGCGATCTGGTGACCGTCGTAGCGTCATTATAAGGGGCTCTGAAGACTACACGAATAATCTGACAAATCTTCGTTGAAAAGGATTCAAATGCGGGAAAACTAACGATCTTGCTCTTCTAACTTCTTCACAACTTCGAGAAAGACAGTACTGCCTGATATCCGGTAATTTCGACGTAGGCTCTCCTGTATTTTCGACAGAACTGTTTCAGGAAAGCGCGCAGTTTCCTTCTAAATATGTTTTAAGAGTAGGAATTACATATTCAAACACTTGCCTTCTCACTTCGCGTCGTCACTCCTCTGAAGTCATTCCTATTAATTAGTCTATCATCATCAGCAACAGCTATCTCAGGAGAGCCGGCGGAACAATACGGATGAGACACCGTCGCATTGCGCCGAAATGTCAGATAACACCTGCAAAAAGCTTGGTAGATGTTTTGGGCTCTCAGCTACTCAAGGATTTTACTATGCAGTCTCAAACTAAGCAATACTTCCAAATGCGCATTCAGGCAGATTGGATGACTGATTTTCTTATAGTGTTATTGGAAGGACTGAGCCTATGCCGGTAACCCATAGTTTCATTCGTAAGATCCAACGCTAAACTCGTCAAGTACCGTACTCTTTCAAAGCGACCAACTAGCGTCCTCGAGTACGGTACCAAACAATCCGAGTCAGATTTCTCCTAAAAGTGGGTACAAGCTGCCGATTCAGTTTGCACAAAACAAACCTCGGTATATGTTGCATTTGGGTTTTATAGGGTGTCTCACCGAAACTGGGGTAGGCGGGTCTCTACATATTTCATCAGAGGGCACTATAAGTAATGATCAGGTAATGGGACCCTTCTACGCCGAGAATTGCACCCAAAGTGGCAAGCAGATTGCGGTTTGGTCCACACTGGCCTATTGCTAATTATTCCCTGACGCTTTCTAACATGTTCCTCCAGGTGACGTGTTATCCACCTCCACAAGTGAGGACACAAGTCGTCGGCGTTGCGGTTGCGGGGTCTTCAAAAAAAAAAGATTTTCGGAAGTTTATGCGATTTCAAACCCTCATAGGGATAGACAGGATCGAAAAGGCTTGTAACATGCAAAAATCCCGACATTAGAATTGTGGTGAGATACTGGCTGAAGGCATTGTTTCGGTAAAAATTTGCCGCTACAACGCTTTTAAAACCCGAATTTGCAACAAAAAGTTTTTCTTGAAGCCTTATGAACGATGAGACAAAAATGGATGCTAGCACTTTCAGTTACCACTAATCGCACTACTATGTAATACACTCAAATAATTACCTGCTGTTTTTTGCAAGGTTACGCTCTCGTAGTTGCACCATGCAACCCGTCTATAGATGTAGTTTGAGCGGGCTTGTATTTGCAACTATGTTGGGTGGAAACAATACTTAACGTCACTGTGTGGTAATTTCCTGGTGGGTAAACTACCCTAAACTTGATGCGCAGATAAAGACTAAAAAAACAACCTCTTCTTAGCTGATGACATATCAGGGTATTTGAAAGTTGTTCTTTAACGAAATCTGTGAAAAAAAAAACATGTAGAAGACAAGATTTCTGTCCTAATATATGGCAGATTTCTTCCAGGCTGTTTCAATAAATTGGGGGCGTGTGTTATAAGAAAGAGATAGAAACGTGGCAGAAATCTTATGCACTGGTCGTTGTTCCAAGAGTCTGTCCGAAAAGTTCTGGAACTGACACAGTGAAGCAGCGATGAATGGTGTGAAGATAGACAGATCCTAAGCATCAATGAGACGAAATTCCAGTATATGTTCAACTACAAATCAGTTGTAACATTGAATCCCTAATGCAAGTTCAAGCTTGCCAGCACCAAACAGCGCAAACTCCATAAAATGCCGTCAGAAGTACTTTGAAAAAGTTTGGTAAGACTCGTTGAGTGAATTTGACACCTCCAATAAAGGTGAAAGAAAGCGTAGCGATTTGCCAAAGGTACAAGACTTAGAAACTCACCACCTTCTCTTTGCACGTGTTACCACGAAAGAAGAAAAAGGCCCCATGGGGGCTACGAATAAAGACCTGAATCCAAATTCACGCCTTTGTGAGTTCTGTGCGAAACGTAGCAAATCATATAGTTAAAAAACGACAAAACGTGACACGACATAAATGGAAAAACAATAAGTAAAATACATATTTCATTGACAGGCACAACTTCGCAAGACACCAGTTTTGGTACAGCTATAATTAAATGGTGAACAATACCGAAAATGGATAAAAACGAATGAAAACATAGATATAGGAGGTCATATGGTGATATGTCATAAGTAGGCGGACGCAAAAAAGTTTATATGCAACAGTTCAAAGTGAGACTAGGGTTGAACAGAGAAAAAACTTGAAAGTCATTGGATTAGATATATCAAGTCAGTCAAGGAATTTTGTTGTATTTGGAGGCAGAGATCAAAAAGGCAACTCTAATTGTAAGTATAATAATGTGGTAACGAGTACAAGTGACATTCCAGAATAAAACTTCACCGGGATGGATAAGGCTTGGCAGCTTATAAGGACGGCGAACCACGGATCGGATAGAACGGCTGAAAATATTCACTGAGATCATGCACTACCGTTACTCAGACAGATAAGTCAAAGTAACTTACAGAATCTCCACCCAGTGTTTTGGAGACTGGGTTTCTTTGGCGTAGCTGCCGCGGTAATGCAATGATTTCTTCTTCATATGACACTCTCTGCTGGCCAGATTCATTGATCAACATGACTTCCTACATTATGAAGTTTATACCTGACAGTACGCTGAAATCTGTACCTGGTTGGCTTGCAGCTCAGTGTTAGATGATGTTTTGCTTGACACACGCCGGAAACCAACTTTTCGCGGTTTACATGGCGTGGGGCCTTCAGGCAGGGACAATAATGAGCATGATGAGTCATCTGGCTGGAGAAAGGCATTCTTATCGACCCTGAATCGTTTCATACTCGTTTAAATCTAGTCAAAATACTATTGCTTCTCACATTTCTTTTTTATTCTGTAAGTGTTCGATTAACTCCGTAAGCATTATTGGTTCCACATTTCTCCACTCCTCATCTTTCATATTAAACAGCAACCTAGAATTGTATGATAAATTGCAGTACGTTTACACATTGCAACACAAAAACGACTCACGTGTAAGATCTGGCAAAGTCAGACTGCTGATCACCACTGCCTCCTTTGTTTCTGACACACGCCGATGACTCCTCACTGTCAGTTGAAGAGGCAAATGAAAGCTAAAAATATCTTGATTGTACTAAGCAGTGATAAAACGCCGGAAAACCATATTTCCGCAAGCAGAAGCGGACGCAACCTTTCAACATATTAGCAAAATAATTGTCAAGAACTGCTGCTACTTTTTGAGAAAATATTAACTAAACTGCTGAAGGAACAGAACAGCTGCTTACTACAAACATGCTTATACTCTCCTTGAGATTCAAATCAGACCAGAAAAGTGGAAACTAACCTGAAGGCGAGGAGGATCTGGAACAAGAGCAGAAGCAGAAGTGCGTAAGCTTCTTCTGCGCAGCGTGGGCGTAGCTAAAGAAGAGTCTATAAAAAATTAACAAAAATTCGGAAGAAAAAAGCATGCCTGTAGGTTCGTGTAACGTTGCTTTAGGAGACGGCGGCCGACGGAATACCGGGCTCTAAAACAGTGTATTTGTTTATATCAAATGCATCAAGAAAAAGGCAGAAACCTTGGCTTTTTTCTTCAGTATAGACTGCGGTGTAGGTACTGTAACACTGGAAGCGGTTGATTGTTCTGGGACTGAGGTGGCTGGGCGATTCGACGACTCCTCGATTAACTTGAGGGGATTTGAGCAAACAACGTATGCGTGTTTTGTACATTTGTTACATACCTCATCGCTTCCTGACTCCCTCTGTTCACTAATAGTAGCTTCTATGAAACGTACAGTTCGACCGCGAGAAGAGCTTTGTAATGGCTAAATTAGTGCTTCACATCATATGCGATTTCAAATTCTGATAGGCGAACTATGTCACAATTAAACAATTTCCAGCTGATCTAGAAACATATTTGACTCGCGAAATTAAAACGTTGAGGATGAATGATGCATATAAACAAAAACAGAACTTATCAATAAACATATCGGCTCTTCCTTTAAAAACAAACATAAGCGATTGGCAAATTAGACCTTGCAATGGATTTTATTTCATGTGCAGGTACAACCATGCGTGGTGAGATGCACAGAAACTTACGGATGGAGAACAAGGTTAAAATAGTTCGGAGTTGTGCTGTGAGTAAAGTCAAGACAGACAAGTTAATGGATCTTTGCAATAACAAGCAAACCAAACTTGACATTGCGGTGAATCCCAAATCAAAAAAGGGCGTCACAGTTCCCGCAATCTTTTGACTCGTATATAAGTATAATTCATTCATAAAACCGTGACGATGAATTTTGCTGCGGACTTTGCGCCCACAGAAGCGTAAAACGCTCATACAAGAAGACATCCCCTCAACGTGCAGCTCAGTCACCCCCAGTGTCTGGATACTAGATATTATCATACGGAGGCAAAAAACCCTTCAGTGATGAAAACTGGGAAAATGCAGTTTCTGGAAGTGGCGTGCGTATCGCGGTCGCGCCATAGTCGCGATTTTTCAAATGCCCTATAGATACTCGCGGACATAGTCATGTCAATTTCCTTGTGACTATTTTCGCGCTTGCTGCGCCACTATCTCAGTCGAATTGAACCATACGCAGTTATGACGTGGCCCTAAGGCACACGCCATGCTTGATCCACTTGATCCGCTGCTAGTGGTCAGTTTACTATTTGAACAACAGTGATGTGGATCAAATCGACCAAGCAGATCAGGTATGACGCTGGTCTAGCTCAGATTCGAGACCTAAGCCGAACTAAGATGGTAAAATCACTCGTACACTGCAATCCTGCTTTTTTAGAAACATCGCCAAGATGTAAAGAGAATGGATGAGAAAATCAGTAAAGAGAATGGCTCTAAAAACACTTTGAAAAAATTGAAGCAAAAGAATTCACAAGTATCACCAACAATAAAGTTACACAACTATTACCTCATTGAGATCAAGTGAACGCAGTGGCTTTTTTGGTGTTTTCCCTGTATGAGCCACGTTCTCCAAGAATTCGCGAACCTAGAAATAACATATAATGATAGCGCCAATGCAAGAAACGAAATTCACCTTTTGTTGATCTGTCACACTGACGTTACTTTCAAAAACATTGATGCCCAAAGGTAACAAACTGGGCCGCGGGCCCAAAGATCTCGCCTGAATAGATCAATTTCAACACTTCAACTCAAATGATACTCTTCTCACCCCAGCTATTGAGCTTGCACGACCAACAGTAGGGATGCGGACGCGGTTGTTGCGTATCATATCCAGTGATGAAGCCATAGGCTTGAATGTACGTGATGGACTTGGAGGAACATTCCGACTAAAACTAAAATTTTAAGAGAGGTTTTCAGAAAAAGTGAAAGTTGAGAGTTATTTGCTGGAAAGATGTGCTGATCTCACGATTCTGCTCGATTGCAAAAACAGAAGAGCAAAGATCTCATTTTGAAGGAAACATGAGAGTCAAAAATAACGCAGCCATCTTGCAAAGCTTGACAGGTTCCCTCGGGAAAATAACGCAAGCATCTTGCAAAGCTTGATAGGTCCCTCGACAGATATAGGCGATGTCAAAAACCTATTCCCTTTTGTGCAGTCCTCGATTTGCACGCACGCACCGCAAATCCCGTGCGCCACGTGCGCGAGCGGACGGCAGGGCATTTTGTCAACTCCTACAAACGTCATCGATCGAGGGTTGGCAAGGGCCCAAGCTGTACGCACGCGAACGGAGCGCATCAGCCTTGCGATGCGTACGCGTAAGAGACGGACTTGTGAGCTCCTCATTAACATGCACTGTATAAGATTTTGCCTTATTACTGAGAAGCAAAGCTTTCCTAGAGTGTCTTCGCTCGCGTGTGCCTGTCAATCAAATGAATTCTCACCTTCCCATAGCTAACTTCCGGCATCTCATTTTGGAAATTATGTTATCCAAGCTTTTTCGTAACAAAAGAGAAACAACATTATACAGAATCATCCAAAATCAGACAGGGAAGATATTGGACATTTTGACTTGTCATAGCCGCTATTGCGTCAAGAACTTGGTAGCAAGTGGGTGACTTCAAATTTTTGACTTACTTGCGAATGTTATTTTCGTTAGTTGTAGTGGCAGTACGAGATGGTCCAAATGCTTTGGCGCTAGGTTCCGGTTTGTGGCTACTATCGCTATGCTTCGCCCTCTCCAGGGATAACTTGCTGAAAGGTATTTTTTTGAAGCATCAGAGATATACGCAAAATAAAGTTACCTATAAGCATCTCTGGCAGCTTTCATCCTAGCTGCTCTATCATCTTTACCCTTTAGTGGTGTTTTCAGTGCGGATCTTTTGGAGAGAGGCGACCTAAATACTAATGTGTGTTGTCGAAATCGCATGTTTTTGCCTCAAAGATAGGAAACTGGTGGCAGAAACTCACTTGCCACTTTTCTTCGATATGCTGGCAACCATCGCGCACAGCCGGGAAATCTGGGGTAGAGAAAAAATCAAAAACTGCGAAAAATATGAGAGAAGAACCAAAAAATTTATCGAACATAAAAAGTGACGGGACATTTGCGAAAATGCTAGAAGACTGATATGTATATGGATGAGAGCAAAATCAAAAACTCCTACTTCAAAAAGACGAAACTTCGTTCCAAGAAGACCGAAATAGTGCAACCGCTGAAGGAATGAAGCCGTCGTGCTTCACAGATGATGTAATAACAGCTACATAATGTTGATCAGGAATCCATTGGACATGTAGAAGAGAAAAGAAACAACTCCAAGGGAAAACCATTGATTCTAGGCGATAAATAAAACCACGAAAAAAATTAGAAAATTTGCAAGGACGAATTTGAAATTTGAGCGCGTTGCGAGAGCAGGAAATGCCTATAGAGCGTGATAAGCGCGCAAAATAGAGCTGCGCGACTCTGACATTCGTTTCGGATGAACGGCGCGCAAAAACAACGATTTCTACGACCCGCGCCTGTCGAGCGTACGAGCGGCGCGATACAGTCGGATTTGAGTACGAGCGGCGCGCAATTCGGAGTGTATCAGTACGAGCGGCGCGCAATTGACAAGCAGGACTAGCCGCGTGCCTTCAAACACACGAGCCGCGTACCACTAATTTAAGCTTCTGCAGCTTTTCAGGCAGGTCTACGTGTTCATGACTACCATAGTCAAAAAAAGACGTTTAAGTTTGTGCGCAATCATTATTTATGCATTCTGTATAATTTTCACATTTTTTATGCACAAAAACTATAGCGTAATTTTCACACGTTATAAGCGTAAAGGATACTTGCGTAAGGTACGACGCAGTGGTTAGGCCGCCCTAAATGCTAACTGACGTGAATATGTTTACAATATTTGCACGAGGGACGTAGTCGCAAGGTGGTCCTAAAGACAATTTTCGATAGCACCTTTGTGTCGTTCAATATTGTAGCCGGACGTAGTCTCCGAAACCGCCATATCGATGGCATTAACACAAAATTGTCATATCAGTGATTCAAGCACGAAATTACCGTACCAACGGCGCCGAAGTGACAGCGTACCAGCGGCGCGAAATTCGCGTATCACCCGAGCGCATTTAGCGGGCGAACGGCCATTGAGGAGTCCGCTCGTACGCAAATTTCGCGCGGCTCGTACGCAACGAATGTCAGAGGAGTTAGGATTCCTGTGAGCTGAAGCAAATCTTATCGGGTAGGAAAGTTTTGCAATATGTTTTAAAGACTGCGCTGCAGGTAGAATCAAAATGGATGAATGTACGTCAAGAAGTGCGAATTTTATTGCCAGGTGGGCAACAATTAGCGGATATAAGTCTGTTGGAGCCACATTAGCATTTCAAATGTTTATGAAGAGATGCAGGGTAGTTGCATGGGATAACAATCTCATTATCATGGAGATTCAGATTGTGAACGAGGTGGAAAACTGCGAAGATGCAGTCATCAGCAAACTCGTTAAAACTTTGGACAAATTTACAGCGAAAGCGCTCAAACTCAGCAAGTCGTAACTTCCAACAGCCAGTAAGCTAAAGTACTCTGCCCGGTATATTTTGGGGATTCGCTGGCTCTGAGCTAAATTTTTGAGTTGCTGAGAGCCGGAAGAAAAGCGAGCTTGTTCACCGTCTCTTTTGAAAATGGTATCCACTTGTAAGATTGCACTATCCGAGTGAATTTTGCGCATACCTAAAACTCAGCTTGCAGTCGACTAAAATCCAACACGGAGAGAATAGAAGATGCAAACTCTTCCAAATCGAAGCAAAGTGGGATAAACTTCTGACTCTCTCACAACTTTCTGAATTTCAACCTACTGGAATTATTAGCCTTGCTGATTATGCTATAGGGCATTCGAAAAATCGTGACGACGGCGCGATTCCATTTCTTGATTTCTATCTCTACTCGAATGGTTTTTCTGCTTACATACGATAGTATTCAGACACTGGAAGTAAATGAGCTGGGCTTTCAGTTGATGCATCTTTGTATGGGTGTTTATGCTCCTTTGTGCGCAAAGACCGCAGTCAACCTCGTCGCCACGATTTCAAGAATGAACCATATGTGTTCTCTTATTCGACAAAAAACAATGCCTTACACCCTTATTTTATGCTACTTGTGAGTGATACCGCCCAGACGTGTGCTGTAAACTCGGCAACCCCCATCCCAGCAATCCAAATTGGTTGTATTTTCACCACTAAAAGTAATCAGCATTCGGTTCCCCTGCTTACATTTTTATATGACTTCAATCATCAATCAAAAACTTCCTGAAACATTCACTGATATGCTTGCCCCTACTCTAAACTGAGTAGAAAAGGAAACAACTTTATTCAGTAACAGCAAAATAAAGAGATCACTTGCACCGTTGGTAATAAAATGCATGGAGATAACAGCATGAACTGGGGAATTACTTTCCAGTGGATCCGAAGCCTCCGGCACCTCGAGTAGTATCGGTCAAAGACTGGCACTCCTCAAATATGCAATGCGCGATGCGTTCACAGATCAGCTGAGCAATTCGGTCGCCCTTCTTGACCTAAAGTAACAGTTTTAAGCCAATGAACTAGGCTTACGTTGGTAAAAGAGTACCTGGAAGTCAGTCGAGCCGAAGTTAAAGAGCAACACTTTCAGTTCGCCACGGTAATCGCTATCAACAACCCCAGCTCCGACGTCGATGAAGTTCTTGGCAGCGAGACCAGAACGAGGTGCCACTCGTCCGTAATATCCAAAAGGAAGTTCCACTTGCAAGCCAGTCGAAACGCACATCTTACCTTAATCAAGAACAATAATAAAGTATGGCTAAAATCGAAAGAGAGCTTTCCAGAGCACGTTAACAAAGGGAAGATATTTAACCAGAGTTGAGATGTGATTAATATTGAATTCGTTGAATAATCTGAAGTAGATCTTCTTCATCTGCCAAAAGTTTTCTTGAGAGACGTGAATTTTTCAGCACAAGTGCATATCAAGAAAAAGCGGCCCGTGGATCAGTACATGCTCAGAAATTGCGAAAATGTACTAATTTTAACATACTTCTCGCTAAGTCACATTTTAGTCCTGCTTACACTTAAATACAGACAATGACCTCATCGAGTAAAATGCTCAACAAATGGGGAATACCCAAAATCTGCATCTAAGCTTTTGATTGCCTGTATATCACACACCTAATCACAACTTTGACAGAGTATTCATCACTAATGACAAAGCTTAAACTTGCACAAGCATGGAAATGATTACCATGTGCCGGGACTGTGCAGTCTTCAGCACTGTGGAGATCAGCGCCGGCAGCCGCAAGAGAACCGTAGGCTGGTGTCTGAGCATCGGGATTCAGCTTTACGAAGCGAATGGTGAGACGCTTGAAAAAGCTATGGTCGTGCAACCGTCATGGTCAAAATATAAAACTGTACGTTACTAACCTGCTCTGTTTGTTCATCAAGTTTGAGTTTTTTGCACTCACCACCATCGCCGGCAGCATTAATATTTTCCTTCTGCATGGTCAAGGTTGCCATTATCTTTTGTCGATTGCTAGAACAAAACAGTCGAGAATATATCGCATTTTTGAGGATGAACATCTGTGAGAGAAAAACTTGACACAGTGCTTGATACAGAGGATGAGAGAAGACACGACGAGGAAAGGAGATGAAAACGCAAGTTCAAAGGATATTCAAACAACAGCAGATGTTATGTGAATGTGAAAATGAAAAGATGAATCCGAATTTTCGCGCTTGATTCAATTTTCGATTGTGGCGCGCTCGATATTGGAGCACGTAATCTGCGGCGGGCAATGATTTTCACCACGATTCACTCCAAAAACTTCGTGATTAGAAGCTTTGGGACATTTGGATGCCACTGTATATGACAAATTAACGACGTTCGTATGTCTTCCAATATATGAACGAGTAATGAAATTGGAGTTTCGGCTATTCTCATTTGCGTTTTCAAGTCATGTTTTGAAGTCTGTAATCATGCCAGCTGTCCCACCAAGTCACTATTCGTTGTATATTGCCTGTATGCAGTGGCGGTCCGAGGGGGGGGGGGCGGGGGGGGCGCCCCCCCCCGAGAATGGGTCGCGAAATTTTTGAGACTTACCTATATGGGTCTTGGCACACATATAGGTTGAACCAGCCAGCATCGGTTATGCGACGTCGCGCGCGCGGCAACTTGCGACGGTGCGGCGCGACGCGTGCGAGCTGTGCTACGCGTTGAAACACGTCGCACGCGACGGTGCGTCGTCGCAAGTCATACTGGCGCGGGACCGATGCCGGCTGATACAGCCTATACACTTCGGGCCCCGGCGGGTGTCATAGGCTAATTTTCGTCATCGATCGATATCGATTTTATCGATTTTTTGCAAAATTTGAGCTAGGGGGCTGGGAGTTGGCACAGGGGGGGGGGTAATCGAGCATGCTGATCACCCCCGTGGGGGTGATCAGCATGCTCGATTACACCCCTCTGCCAACTCCCAGCCCCCTAGCTCAAATTTTGCAAAAAATCGATAAAATCGATATCGATCGATGACGAAAATTAGCCTATGACACCCGCCGGGGCCCGAAGTGTATGTGTGCTAAGTTTGGTCCCGATCGGTTCAGAAATGGAATTTTCTATTCGGAACATACGTACACGCATACAGACATACAGACAGACAGACAAACAGACATTCAGCTTTATATATAAGATAGAAATGTGCAAACAACTTGTTTATCTTTGTAAATAATCAAAATAATTTTTAAAATTTTTTTAAAATTCAAATTAGCCCTATGAAAAATTTTTTTCGGGGGCGTGGCTGACGCCACGCCCCCGAAAAAAATTTAATCGATTTTATCGATTTTTTATCCCTTTTTCCAGATTGGGGACCCGCGAAAATTCTAAGAAGTACCCCTAAAATTTTTTCGGATTGCGTGGCTAACGCCACGCACCTTCATTTGAAAAAAAAAAATTTTTCGCGCCCCCCCGCGGTCCGAAATCCTGGGACCGCCACTGCCTGTATGTTGTCCTGTAACCCAAGACGAGTCGGAAGCAAAAGAAGGGTGTTTGCTACATGAGAGGTCGAACACGATGGAGTAGCTCCAGAACGGGGTGGAACCCGGGATGCCAGTTCGTATGATGATAGAAATAGGTGTTACTGTTTCGATTTCCGCGGGTTTCCTTTTTTTGAAAATCATACGGCGTGCGGCAAAGGACTTATTGTTAGTAATTTTCATGGCAAAGAAAGAATGAACAAAGAAGTGCAAAAAATTTATTGCGTGCATTATTCAAAACACTAGCGATAGCATAGTGTTTGAATCTTGGCATGCTACAAAGGAAGTTTCTGGCTACAGAGTAATAAGGGAAACTTTGCAAAGTTTGGAGTACATATACTAAATCGCGGGCATCTATCTGTACACCGCAAAATGGAGGGAAATCAACAAATGTAAAGAGAAGAAACGGAGTTTAACGTCAAACGATTTTGGAACTTCTTTATCCATGATTCGACTTAGGTGCTGAATAAGAAGACTTAGATAACAATTCTGGATCCAATGATCTTTGCGCATCTACAGCCAAATTTATTTTGACTCAGACAGTCGAAGGGATTCCTCCGGCGGGCAAATGGCGCGAGTCTGCCACCTCGCGCTCTGGAGCGCTCCGGAGCCCTGCAATTTCACCCATTTTGGTGCCCCACGACCATGCGGACATGACTGTTCAAAATGTTTGGGTATTTCGCAGTTACAGAATATGATCACCAAAAAGTTGGAATTAGCGACTACATATGGCTATTGTTGGCTGGCAGAATTTATATTCAGTAAAGCGATTGCAGCTTTGTCCGACATACTTAAATTAGAAATTACTAGTAGTTATAAATTATTATAACTATTAAAAAAATATTATAAAAATAATAAATTATAAATAAATAAAAAAAAATAAAATAAAAAATAAAAAAATAAAATAAAATATTAATAAAAAATAAATTAAATATATTTAAATATTAATATTAATATCAATTATTTAAATATATTTTATTAATAAAATAATAAATTATTAATATTACTAAATTATTATTATTATCATTCATTCATTCTACTCTCACACCGAGTGGTTGAACATCGTCTATCGTCTAATGCCGGCTAAGCTCAAAAACACCAAAGCCACTAAGGCCACGTCACTTTCTGGATCAATTTCAGATAACATGGCTCTTCACTCTCGTACATCAGCTTCTATGGAGCAGAATTGCTTTAACACTGCCAGCCATGGTACGACTACGAATGCGAACGAATTCGAGAGGGATCAGCTGAAAACCCAGCTGCATTCGATACTTTTGAACAAGGCACCTGATGCTCTGCCCTTATTTGAGAGACTATTAACCCAATACAGATCCACATACCATTGTGGAAGCAGAGAAAAGAGGCAGGTCCTTATTATCTATGGTGTCGATGAAGCGAAGGATGATGCTGCTCCCTCTGAGAAGCAGAAACATACTGAGGCAGCTGTCTCAGAAATCCTCGATCTTCTTGAGGTGGAAGCCCGCCCAACGGAAGTGTACCGCATGGGCTCCTCCACCTCTGGGAGACCTAGACTCATTGAAAGTGTTTTGCCCTCGCGGCGTTTTGTCTTCAAAGCCTTACGGAACGCTCCGAAACTACGCTCCTTAGACGGTCAGAACCAAATCTTTATAAGAAAGTCGATGACCCGAGAGGAACGGGCTAGAGACAAAGAATTGCGAAGAAAAGCGCATGAAATGAATCTAGACTATAATGGCGTGAAAATATATGTGGTGTATAGAAATGAGATAGTTAAGGCCTCTGACATACCAAAAATAAAAGCTTCGCTTTCAAAAAACTGAAGATGTTTGCTCCAGATAAACTTCTATGCCTTTTGTTTAATGCCAGAAGCCTCACCAACAAACTCCTTGAGCTGCATCACCTCCTTTTTTGTACGAAACCTGCTATAGTGTTCATTACTGAGAGTTGGTTAACATCGAATGTTTCTGATAATGAAGTGATTTCTGGCTTACCATACTCTATTTTACGCAATGATCGATCCCACAAAAAAGGCGGTGGTGTTTGTGTTCTTATGCATACTGAATTGTTGCTGAAATTTGTCGCACTAACTTTGATTCCCAATCCACTTACAACATTGTAGCATTTGATGTTATGTTCGAACTAGTGCGTCACCTCTGCTTCGCAGAGGCTCGCACTGGCTCTACTATCTATGTGCCTTACTCATTCTCGTAAAATCGTGGCAATGGAACTTATCGCACTATGCCGACTACCACGAATTAAATGTAAACAGCTACTCATTCAGAAAGTTTTTTCACGTGAGATCGGTGATTTCGCGTGGATGAAACTTTTCGTAGGAAGACAAACGCAAATTTGAATAGGTTTTTGAAGTTGTCATGGCTTGGTAGTCCCCTTAAAGGCAGGCACCGTGAGCTACATCTCCGTGCGAAAATCTTTTGAAACGCTTAGCTAGAACCTTAGCAAATTAACCATTTACGCAACCAACTCTTTCTGGCGCCGTTTTCGTTATGTAGCAAACTTTTGACCACTTTTTGGGCTAAAGTCCATCGCTTGCACATTTGCTTACCAAACACATCCAGGACTTTGCAAAAAGTGGTGATATGGACCCAATTTTGCGGGACAGAAGCCAGGTGGATCCGTTTGGCGCGCAATTTCTGAGGGACCCATTCAACGAATCTATTCGTGCTTTTGCACGTTGAACTTTCATGAAGGTAGCATGCGCTATGCAAAATTTGGACTTAAAACGCTGGCTGGAACACGCTCTACGAATTTCGTAACAGACGGACACACACACACACACACACACACACACACACACACACACACACACACACACACACACACACACACACACACACACACACACACACACACACACACACACACACACACACACACACACACACACACACACACACACACACACACACACACACACACACACACACACATACACACACACACACACACAAAAACACAAAAACACGTAAACAACCCTTAGCCCGTTATTATAAGGTCTTGATTCCCCAATAAGTGTCGATTTGTATTAACCTACCGACCTCCTAATGTCACTATACAGGAGGATGATGAACTACGCTTCATCCTATCTCGCCTTGCATCTGATAACACGAAGACCATAATATTGGGTGATATCAACTTGAGCGGTGTAGACTGGAAAATGAACAAAGCAAAAACGCTTTCCTCTCGTAAATATCTAGACTTGTTTAATTCTCTTGGGATGAACCAAGTAGTTACGTTACCTACACGTGGCAACTCCATTCTGGACATCGTTCTTGCTTCTCCAGGTATTGTTTGCTTTGAAGGGACTTTACCTCCCCTTGGTTGTGCTGACCATGCAATAGTCAAATTCACCTTAGAAATGCCAAAAATAAAGAAATGCACAAATATGATGCGTGATTTTGGTTCTGCTGATTTTAATACCATCAAAAGAGAATTAGCAGCCATTAATTGGTTCCAAGCATTTGATGGCTATGTTGACATTAACGATGTCTACTCAAGATTTCTCACAGTACTATATAATTTGATTGAAACTTACGTCCCACTCAAAAGGCATCATAGTTTTGTTATCAAATATCCTCCTCATATACTGAATCTTTTACAACAAAAGAGGAGACTCTTACTCTCCAATATTTCCACAGATTGTGAACAATACAGAACTGTTTGTCGAGC